TTTTTCTACTTAAAACTATGAGACTCTAAGGTGGAACAAACGCAAATTGTCCACAGATGGATACATGGATAAACAATGCAGCATATCCGTAATACTGAAATACTACTCAGCTCTCAAAAGGAAGGAGAGGGAAAGACAAGCGGGGCATGCATGGACCTGAAGGCACTGTGGTAAGTGGTCATATACAGAGAGAACGGTGGTTGCCAGAGGCTGGCGGGGTGTGGGGTGGGGAATGCAGGGAAGGCAGTGTTTCACCCTGCCAGAGAAGAAGGTGGGAAGTTCCAAAGCCACGTGGCGGCGATGGATCTAGAAAGACGAGTGACTGGATTCCCACAGGCGGTCCCCTGACCTAAACAGGAGTGCTGTGGTGTGTGCATTTCACCCTACCTCTCTCTCCCCGCAAGACAATTAAAAGTTTAAAAAATACAGAAGGCTAAGTAAGCACAGTGGCACACTCCTATAATGTTAGGCTCAGGAGACGGAGGCAAGAGGATCAGGAGTTCAAAGCCAGCCTTGGCTACACAGAGAATTTGAGGCCAGCCTGAGCTAAATGAGGCCCTGCGGGGTGAAAAGCTAATTAAGACTGTTTAAACACTGTCAGATTTGCCGATTTGGGCGCTGAGGTAGGGACTGGCCTTCATGGTTTCCTCCATTTATCTTTAAGAGCTCTAATCTCTTTAAAAGGCCTGGTCATAAAAGACAAAGAAATTGCTCTAGCTTGCCTTTCCCCTTCATGCAGCTAGCCATGATGGGCTGGACCCTGGAAATATGCTAATCAGCCAACGTGTAGGTCTTAGCTGGGGAGATAACATCTGGAGTCTGGAATGGTGTAGTTGGAAATAGACTGGGATAAACATAGAGAGTCCCCTGGGAGCAGGGGACCAAAGCAAGCGAATGGGGATGCTTCAGGCTGAGCTGTGGGCCAGCAGGGAGAGGTAGACAATGAGGTGGCCTTACAGAAAACCCACAAGGCCTGGGAAGAAAGGGATGACTCCTAAGCCGGGAAGAGACGGACCAAGCATCAGGGTGTTTCAGTAGATCTTCAGTGGCAAAGGACCACCGCCTAGAAGTCACTGTCTCCACTCCACCTATGAGCACCGCCATTTATCCAACCAGCAGCCAGTCAAGCTTGGCCAGCCTTTTGGGGGGGGGGGTCCCTGAAGTTGTGTGAAGGTAGGCCTGTCACTCATCTCTTCTGGTCTTGGTCCCCTTCTCCTCAAGACAGGAGTGGACTCCTTTGGCCTTAAACCCTACAGAGCATCTTTCTTTTTATTCATTCCTTAGTCACCCCCCCAGCTCCTCCCCCCCCACTTGCCTGGCTCCCAGCCCCTCCTATTCAAGGCAAGCGGGGTGCCTTAATTTCCTGGGCCACTCCCTGCACATTCCTGCTCCTCTGAGCTTGCCAAAGAGAGGGTTCCTCCCCTAAATGCCTGCCTCACTTCTGCTGTCCCAGAGCCTGCCCACTTGCTAAAGGAACAGAGCCCTAAGAGAGCAGTTACATGCCTGCTACTATAGAAGCTGATTAAAAGTACTTTAAAAGGTATATCGAAAGGCTATCTACAGCCCTAAGTAAGGGCTCATGATGCATGCCATGAAAATAGAAAAAAGATACAAAACACACATGACAATTAAACCTACATAATGGTGTACACACCCCAAGGGAGGGCAGAAGCATAGAATTACATAATGAAGGGGACACTCCAGGGCTGTGGGTCAGGATGAGAGGGCTGGTGACTGGTAAATCTCTTTACCATGACTCCAACTTACACACACACACACACACACACACACACACACACACACACACACCCTGCTTTTGGACTCTCAGATCCCTCTGGTCCACGTCCATCTTGAAGCCCCCCTACTTCCAGCCCAGACGACTTTCCCTGTTGGTTTCCATCCCATTCCTTACACAGGGCAATGGGGGCAGCAAGGCACCCTAGCGATGGGCTTTGGAGCTGGTGGTGGAGGCTAGCTGAGTCAGGCGCTGGTTCTCCTGACTTCACGCCTGGACCTTGGACAGGCGTTTACCCTCACTGCCTCAGTGTCCTCGTCCTCATGACCCTTCCTGCCCACACAACACTGTGGAAAGCCCCTGAGACCATAGTGAGGGCTGCTTTAGTGCTGGGCTCTTCCTCAGTTTTCTGGAGCATCTTGTACTACTCTCTGGGGGCCTGTAATGGAGTATTAGCCCCTCACTCTGACAGCGTACCCACTCTGCAGAGGCACTGCAACTTCTCAACCTCAAATTTATAATGCTGCCTGGCTCTTTTTCCATACATTGTTTCTTTCTAGGTGCACTAGGCAGAAATGTCCTGTGGCCAGAGGTGACAGTACTCCAGCCAATGGCAGTCTGAGGCTCTTATGACAGACAGCAGAACATCACTCCAACTCCTTGACCAGGCCAGTAGCTATGCCTTTCACCTGGACCTCAAGATGCCTTGACAAAGGGCTCAGATGCAGAGACATAGCACCACAGAGACAGCGTGGCCTTCCCTGTATACTGTCAACAGAGGTACTCTGGCCTCAGTGTCTATCTGTGAAGTAGGACAGGGAGGTCACCTTCCTCGCAGAGCTGTATCAGGGTCTCAGCAGACAGCACCTGATGTGCACTTCTAGGAACACCAACACTGGACGCACGTGGTTGTGACTATGCTGCCATTCGCCTGCACTAACGGCCACGGCCGACCCAGCCTCCAGCTCCAGGTGCTCTGGCCGCAGCACGGCCGGGAGACAGCACCTCAGCATAGGAGCGAGTGCCTGGAGCTCAGAAGAGGAGTCCCCTCATTGGCCCCTGGCTGGGCTGAGTGGAGAGGCCCCAGGGAGAGAAGGGCACAAGAGGGGCTTTCTCTCCACCATCATCTCCACCTTCCCATGCAGAATTCTTTAGGTCCTTCCTCTACCACAAAGCCACCCCTGGCTCTGCCCCCAGGGCCTACTGAAGGGAAGCAACCTGGGTGCAGGAGCTACAGGGGTTATCTTCCTTAGACATGTGGCAGCTATGGGAACAGGCTGTTCTGCAGCTCTGTGGGGCCTGGCCATGCGGGACTGACCATCCAGCCTGGCTCTCCTCAGTGGCTCTGAGGTACTTACAGTGTAAGACTTTATAAGCCACGAACCCCCACCCTTCCTCAGTGCCCAGGAGACAGCTGAGATGACTCTGTGGCTCAGAGCCCAGGGCTATGCTCAGGAGACTGAGTGCTAGAGAACTTCAAAGGCCTCTGGAGGCCTTGGGCTCTGAGCTGCCCACTCACTGGCCTGGTCAGCTGGCAGCAGGAACGTCTGTGTTTCTTTTAATATCAATTCCCAGGCATTTAACATTCTTCGAAGCTTAAACACAGAAACCTTTCCTTAGTAGAATGTGCTCTCTGCTTTGCCAAATACAACCTGGCGGCCTCCCCTCCCCCGCTACCTCCATCTGCTCCTGTCTCGAAGAGTCAATGATTTATGGTGCTTCCTCTGGACCTGAGCGGCACAGTGAGGGCAGAAGTGGCAGGGCTGCCATCCAGGCGGGAGACTCCTGGCCCTGGTGTCTGAGCTGGAGAGAAGCCGTGGTCACGATGCTGAGCTGGCTGGCCCTGTCGCCCTTTCATTTCACAGCCATCAGTGGCCCAGGCAGTGCGGCAGCTTCTCACACCTCTTGGCAGCATGTCCGCTAAGGCTGGCCAGGTTGGCCTGGAACATAGTCCTGCTTGTTTCTTAGGCCTTGCCCAAGGGTGGAGAGATGGGGTTCCTGCCACTGAAGAGGACATGTGACGGGGACTGGACTTAGGAGAGCTTTCTGTCATCATCCTCTTCCCCGAAACAATGAAGCGCTGCCACATGGTTGCCTAGCAGCACTGTCTCCCTGGCGACAGCACTGAGGAGCAGGGTACAGGTCCCTCGGCATCAGCAAAGCTGTACTTAGGGAACTGAGGCAGATGGCTAGGCCTCTACTGGAGGGCACCACCTCTAGACTGAACCCAAGATAGTGGGGGTAGGGAACACCCACACAGCTCCCAGTGGCACCAAGGGAAAAACCAGATGTAAAACTTCAGGCTCACTGTGCACCAGAGAATAATAATTTCCTGAAAAAAGGACACTAAGGGACCTGGAGAGGTGGCCCAGTGGCTAAGACCACTTAGAGGACCCAGGTTCTGTTCCTAGCACCCACATGGAAGCTCACAACCATCCTTAACTCTAATTCCAGGGGATCCAGCACCCTCCTCTGGTTCTGAGGGCATATTTTGCCTGCAGGCATGTGTATTCACCATGTATTTTTTTTTTAAAAATGAGATGCTCCCTGCTCAGAACTAATACAATGTGCTTGCTGAGGTCAAGGGATAAGACTCCTGGAGTACCCATGCCTGTGGCCAGCCTTGCCATATATCCCCTGATTCTCAGTCACAGAATCTACACCCAGTGTGAATGGCTCCATGCTAAACATCATCCCTCAAGCTTTCTCAAGAAGATAAGTAGACAGAAGCTGTCGTCAAACCTGGCACAATGTTCCAGAGATGCAAGTACACAAATGACCTTTCCCCTCAATTTCCAACCTCAGGACACCAAGAAACACCACTGAAATATGTGCACTCACCCTAAGGATCTGACGCTACTGATATTCCAAGGCCTCACCCTGAGACAGACACTCCCAACACAGGTGAGGACAGTGCAGGAACTGGGAGCCCAGCAGCCCAGCTGACTCCAAACCCTTTTGGTAGAACAGCAACCACAGGAGTACACAGGGCTCCCTTCCTCCTCATGCCCACAGCAGACACTGCTCTTTATAAACAGTGATCTCTTTTCCTGCTTGTAACAGCCTCAGGCTGCCTCCCAATATAGTGTCACACAAAAAGCCACCAACAGACCGAAAGCGGCTGTGAAAACAAAGGCACCTAACTCCCTTGCAGAGCCAGGATGGCCTGGGGACCTGGTATCTCTGTGCAGCTGGGACACTAAAGACCAAACGACTCCTTAAGAACTCCTTAACCGTACCCCCAGGTCTCACCCTGGCTCCTTACCTGGATCTGCCCCTTGCCCATGATCTTGTCCACAATCTCATTGTTGTCCTTGTTGACCTTGGTCTTGTCGTAGCACTTCTCATAGCACAGGATCCTCAGGGACTGTGACCCCTCCAGCTCGATCTCAAACTCCTGGTGACAGATCAAAGAAACAAAGGGCTCTGAGCCTCTGAAGGTGGGGCTTGTGGCTCCCCAGCTTCCCAGCAAGTGTGAGTCTTGGCTTTGTAAGGCTGGGGTGAGCAGGACACAGAGGGCACTGGTACTTTCCGGGAAACCCCAGTATTCACTGACCTAGACACTGGTCTGCAGGCAGATGACTAACAGGAAGTAAAGAGCCGGGGAGAGACAGCCAGTCCAGCCACTGACGTGGTCACCCCAGCAGAGAGGCATGCTCAGTGACAAACCGTGACAGAAGCCTCCGCTACTCACCTCATCCCATTTGGGCTCCGTCGTGTCCCGAAACACCCTGGTTTTGGCTTTGCTGACGAAATAGCCAAAGGAGTCCACCTCCAGAGTACAGTAAAGATCTGCAGGGGGAAGGCAGACACACCAGATGAGGCCTGAACAGGCCAGGAACAGGGCCAGGGCACAGGTAGTGGTGGTCAAGGGCTCGGGAAGGAAGGGTTACAGCTCTGCAGGGCAGGACCTGAGCTTTAGCATCAAGGACACATGGATCCTATAGCATCTCTACAGACTATGTGACCTGGGCCAATCCCTGGAGCCTCAGCCTCCCATGCTCAAAAGTTCAGGGAGATGGCAGAAGACCAGGGCAGGTAATGAGCCTGTAAAGGCCTTGACCATGCCGAGGCACTGGCTACGCTGTCCACACTCTAATTTTTCTCTGGCTTTACTGTAGGTATTCTGTAAATTCACTCTCACTCAGCCTTCCTGAGCTGCTACCCACACAGGAGCAAAGAAGACCTGCTTCCTGTCTTTCATGTCACAACCGCATGACAGGTGCCAGGACTATAGTTCACCCTGAGCATGATGGGGACACAAAGTGGAGGCCTGTTCACCCCAGAATCATGGGGAGGCTTCCCAGCAATGACGACTAAATGAATGGCTATTTATGGGCCAATAGTATAAACCCTGGAGCCCTGAGTTTCTGAACCTGTGTGCATGGGACTAAGTTATTTCACAGCTCTGTGACTCGGTTTCCTCATCTGGCAAACAGAAACTATAAACTCACTGGATAAGAAGTAGAATAACAGCTTTAATTAAAGATAGGTGTTGTGGGCTGGAGAGATGGCTCAGCGGTTAATAGCACTGTCTGCTCTTCCTAACGGACCCAGGTTCAATTCCCAGCACCCACATGGCAGCTCACAACTGTCTGTAACTCCTATTCCAGGGGATCCGACGCCCTCACGCATGCAGACAAAACACCAATGTACACAAAATAAAAATAAATGTTTTTTAAAAAAAAGATAGGTGTTATGGTGCACACCTTTAATCCCAGCACTCAGAGGCAGAGGCAGAGGCAGGTAGCTCTAAGTTCAGGGACAGCCTGATCTACACCAGTGAGTATAAGGACATAGGAAGACTGCCTCTAAAAAAAAAAATAAATAAAAGTTTCATTGAGATAGAGATTTGCTCAGTAGTAAAGCACTTGCCTAGTATGTGCAAGGAATGAGGGTTCATCCCCAGCACCCCAAATACTGCACCACAGTAAGATTTAAGCTCACTTTCAGGTCAATAAAAACAAATGTGATTGCCTTGCTTTTTTCTTTTGAGGCATGGCAGTATACTCCTTTAATTCCAATACTCAGAAGGCAGAGGTAGGTAGATCTCTGTGAGTTTGATGCCAGCCTGGTCTACATAGCAAATTCTAGGACAATCAGGGATACATAGAGAGACTGCCTCAAACAAAATTAAAAAACAAAAACAAGATCCATTTTAGATTTATTTTGTGTGCATGGGTGTTTTGCCTGCGTATGTGTCTGTACCACACGTGTAGCTGGTGCTTGAGGAGGCCAGAAGAGGACGTTGTATCCCCTTACCTGGAGTTACAGATGGTTGTGACCCACCATGTGGGTGCTGGGAACTGAACCCAGGTCCTCTGCAGGAGCGGCAGCAGAGCCACTGAGCCATCTCTCCAGGCCCGTGACAGCCTTTTATGGAGAAGGAATCTGAGGCTCAGAAAGGTTAGAAACTTGTCCAGAGTCACAGAGTTGATAATCGCAAGACATGGGCTTGAGTCTAGGTCTCTGTAGCTCTAAAGGGAAGGCTTGCGGGAGGGCGCACCTCGGAGACAAAGGACTTCCCTTCCCCGCCAAGAGGAGCTGGCTTCTAGACTCTGAGGGAAAGTCCCACAACTCCAGGCATGTTGGCAGGAACCCAGCTCAGAGAGGTCAGAGCTGCAGTCGAGGGGAAAGAGCCCTCAATAGTGGGACTGCAGGGACAGTAGCCACTCAACTTCTTCCGAGGGCCAAGGGGGCACTTACTGGCTGATTGTTTAAACCCCTTGGCAGAGTGGACGATGACGTGAAGGAAACCGTACAGTCCTGGAGACTCATCGTCTACGAGAGAGCAAAGACAGAGGTTAGAGGTGTAGGGCACTCACCAGCTCGTCCACCCTGGGCTGCTGGGAAGGCAGACAGCGCCACCTGCTGGCCATCTGGCAGACAAGCCCACTGCTCACTGCTTTCCCACAGTGTGAGCTGTCTGCTCAGACTGGGAGCAATCAGTACCTCCCCTCCCTGAACACGGCTGATCCCTAAGGCTGTCTAACCCTTCAAAATGGAGAGAAACTCATTTAAGTCACTTCGTTCTAGTGGGGGGTAAAAAAGCTCAGAGGAAGGCTTGGCCCTGGTTTGGGCCCCCAGGTCCCCAGCTGAAAAGCCCCTTTCATGACCCGGATGGTGGCACATGTTGCAATCCCAGCACTGGGAAGGCAGAGACAGGAAGATTGGGAGTTCACAGAGCTGGCACCACCATCCAGCATGAGAAGAGCACACCTCAGGCCAGTTTCTGGCCTTACTGAAGCTCTCCCTACCCAGAATCCTCTTGCAGGCTCCTGGAATTATAGCGCCATCTCCAAACTTCCTTGCTTGGCACTCAAGGCCTTCCAAATCTACTTCCTGAAATACCTGCCCTGATTCCTCATATCTTTCTCTAGTCTACCCACTGTCTGGTCCTCCCCCAAATCCCTGCCCCCTCTTGCAGCCTTCTGTTCTGGAGGGACACTTTCTCATGAACTCAGCACCACTCAGGTTCCATTACCGTCTCCAGGGTGCAGATTTTTTTCTCTCAAACTGAAGAGAAAATCAAGGAACACCTGAGCCCTTGAGAGGGTACGTCCCCTTTCCAATCCCTGTGTACTTGGCAGGAGGACTGTCCCAGTCACCCCGGGCAGTGTGACCGGCTGTTGGCAGCCGTGCCTATCCTCTGTGCTTGTAGAAGACCCCTAGCAATGCCCTGGGAGCCTGGACCTGCTGGCAGGGCAGCCTGGAGTTCCAAATCTTACCATCCTTATTGCTGGTGACAGGAATGTTGTGCACAGTCCTAAGCTTGAAACAGGATCCCGTGAGCACCTGGAGCTCCACAGAGCTCAGGACAAAGGCCTGGAGATCTGTGGGAGAAGCCAGAGGAGAGAGAGCTTCATTTCAGTCCACTAGGACCTGCTGCTCTTCTTGCAGATGCTTCGGAAAATCAGCTCAGATTCCAGTGTGGGGACTGAGGGAAAGTCCTTCAGGGACTCACATGAGCACAGCTGTGGGTGCTGGCAGAGACTCATGTGTGAGCAGGAAGCAAGACAAGGGGTACTCCCAACCCAGGGCACTAGGTGGCCTGTGATGAACTCACTGTGTGCTTTAACTGGGCCTCAACAGATGGTAATATCCCAAGACTGCCACCTCCCTGGCATGTTAAGATGACTATGAGGACTGAAGACAGACACTGGACATAACAAGCTTAGAAAAACACAAGGCCCTTTGCTGCCAAGGACACCTGCAGAACAGGGTGGAACTGGGCGGGAATTTACCCTTCTTCTGTAGCTTCTGAATCGCTTCTCTCCACTCCGACCTCTCATAGTCAGAGGACAGGAGAAACAGGTAACTCTGGAAGGAGAGGTAAGGTTTCAGAGCAGTGACCTCAGCTGGAAAAGCTGCAACCCCAACCTCTAGGCGTCCCATCAGGCCCCTCTGAGACCGATGGAGGAGGCAGTGCCAATGGTGGCCAGCAGAGGGCAGTAGCTTACTGCTGGCTGGGAGAGCATGTGGGGGCTAGAGCTGACTGAGGCAGCGTTCCTGGGAAATGGGGGTCCCCTCATAGCCATGGGTCAGTACCAGAAGCCACAGAGAGTGGGCAGCCCCGCACTGAGGAACAGGTGGCCCTCCACCCCGCTGCTCCTGACCTTTCCATTCCGATTGTGTATCCGGAACGGGATGGTTGGGGAATTGAGCAGCAGCAAGAACTCATTCTCAAACATCTTCTTTTTGAGACGCTCAATGGCTCGGCTCTGTCCTTTGTTGGCTTTCTGCAGGGGACGAGACACCAGCATTTTCCCTCATGCGAGACTCCACATCCCACTTGGCTGTGCTGAGCACAACACTGTCCTTCGTGCTGATTATTTTCTTATTTTGCTGTATTTCATGAAGTTTTGGTGTCTAAGGCCTAGGTATGCACATCCCAAGTGCCAGCTCGGGAGCATACCATCCACATGCAACTAACCCATGCCACACGTCTACAGAACACCCAAGGTCAGTACAACCAGACCACCCCAAAGCCAGAGTGTCACCTCCTACCCCCTAGTACTGGAACTAGCCAGTGCTAAGCACTTCCTCTGCTCTGCTTCTGTGGAAACCCCAACGACCTGACCAGTCCTGAGGCTTTCGGGCAGCCATGGCTATGTAGGAAGGCTTCTTCTTGCAGACCCTGTAAGTAACCTCTGACATCACCCTACCACTCAATCACCATACGAGAAGCCCCCCATGGAGCCACAGCTGCTGGGCTGACAGCAAGGCCTGCGGTCCCATCCGCTGCCCAGCTTGCCCTGCCCACAAGCAAGTCAGTCCTGCGCTGCCCAAGTAGCTCTCTCCCATTTCCCAACCTCGTATTTCATCAAGAAAGCTGCCTCTGCTTCACACCTCAGAGTCACTGAACCCCCAAGCTCTTCAATGTGGATTAACCTCATCTTTTTTCCTTCGTGGGTATGTGTGGTATCACAGGTGATATTGGAATCTTCCCTGATCCCTCTTACACTGTATTTTTTGAGGTAGGTTCTCTCAGTCAAATCTAGAGCTCACTGATGGGGCTAGTCCCAACAGCCGGGTTGTTGTGAGGTTCCGAGCGCTGGAATGACAGCAGGGCCACCCCACCCGCCATATTTACACGGGCTCTTTTTATCTGGACTCTGGCTTTCTCGCTTATGGCAAGCACTTCACCCACTGAACCATCTCTGGCAGAACTCTAACACAGCCTGCAGCCAGCCCTGTGGCGGTGGCTCTCACATCCTGTCAGAAGAAGGTAATCAACACTCTTAGAGACATCTCTGCTGACAGAATGCACACAGCTGCCCAGCCATGTCATTGTGGAGACTCCCACAGACACAAGGGCAGTAATGTGCACTATAAACCTTCCTCCCAACCGGAAGAACCAGGAACAATCCAAATACCCAAATACACGCTTGGCAGTTGAAAGAGAATATGCCATAGCTGCTAAAGGGGATCGGATAGTTCAGAGTTCCAGGGAGAAGCTTACCAAGTGCCACAACAGGACACATGGTCTTGTGTGTAGGCACGTGAGTGCGCACATGCACGCGCACACACACACACACGCACGCACACACACACGAGCGCACTCGAGCATACACACACTTCAAGTTGTTAACCATGTAAAAGTGGGAGATGATCCCTTTCACTCTATCTGCTAGGATTGTAAGCATTTATGACACTGACAACTAGAAAAAATGAGTTTTAAAAATTATTAATATGAGCTGGGTGTGGTGGCACACACCTTTAATCCTTGGGAGGCAGAGGCAGGCCAATCTCTGTGAGTTCGAGGCCAGCCTAGTTACAGAGTGAGTTCCAGGACAGCCAGGGCTACATAGAGAAACCCTGCCTCAAAAAAAAAAAAAAAAAAAAAAGAAAGAAAGAAAGAAAGAAACAAAGAAACAAAGAGAGAAACAGAAACAAAGAAAGAACATTATTAGTATGGCCAGCAACATGGCTCAATGGGTACACTCAAGGGAGTTGATTCTTTCCTTCCATCATATGAGTTCTGGGGACTGAACTCAGGTCTTCAGGCTTGGTAGCAAGTATTTTCAGTAACTGAGTGAGACTCCTCAACCCCCCAATTGCCCTCTGAACAATGCTTTGGCCTCATCCCATGGGTTTTTTGGTCTGCAGTGCTTTCATTTTTTATGCACTTCTAAACAGTTTTCAGTTTCCATTTTGATTCCATTTTTTTGTTTAGATATATTTTATTATGTATATATTTATTTATTATGTATACAGTATTCTGACTGCATGTACACCTGCAAACCAGAAGAGGGCACCACATCTCATTAGAGATGGTTGTGAGCCACCATGTGGTGGCTAGGAATTAAACTCAGGACCTTTGGAAGAACAGCCAGTGCTCCTAACCTCTGAGCCATCTTTCCAGCCCTTGATTCCCCCTCTTTAAAAGCACTAATTTCCTAGATGCTGTGAATATGACCCCCAGGCTATCAGGTTTTTAAAGATTAGAGATTCACTTTGTGAACTAACAGACAACTATTTGTGGATTTTCTGTGTGTGTGAGGAGAGCCTGATTTCTTTCTCAGCACATGCCTATCAGACGAGGTCGGCCAACTGTGGTAGCTGGGTTCCCCTTTCCCTACTCATTTGCTCTCTAGAGGAGTCAGTTTTTCATGAGGCCTCCTGTGCAGCTGGGGTGGGGGGCGGGGGTGGCAATGATGACGACGACGACGACACGCACTCCACAGTTAAACCCACTAGCTTCTGAACACTGGTCCCTGGCTCTCCCTCAGCAGGGTCTCCCACTGTGGCACCCCGCTTCCCCTAGCACACCCCCAAGCTCGCAGGCCCCTCCCTTCGCCTCCCCAGAACAGCCCAGCTGTGTCTTACCTCCTTCTGGATCTCACTCTTGAGGGCAGAGATCTTCGTTTTCATGTCCTCTAGCTCGTGGTCTGGGAAGAGGTGCACCTGGGGACTGGCCTCTGACTCCTCAGGGGATGGGAACACCAAGTCGGCCAGGGGGATGTACCACTTACAGTCATACTGCTGGTGCTTTCTGTAAGCAAGCAGTGGAGAGTGAGCTGGGCAAAGCGGCCTCTGCAGTGCAGAACTGCTCGCCCGGAGCAAAACCCTACCCACAAAGGGGACTGCTGAGACTCATGGGAGGTGGAAACATTCCCTGCCCTCCAGGAACTCCAAGCAGGCACATGTGGAACACTGGGAGCCGGGTCAGCCGGCAGTGAGGCCGGGTCTTTACCTTGCTAGTCTTTTGCCCAGTGGGACGGGTGCTCTTAAATATCCTAAATCACTGTGTATAAAGAACGGCGCTTTCATGGCTGGGCTGGTATTTTCTTATCATTTGCCTCCCGCCCTGCCATCTCCTGTGCTCTCTAGACTGAAGCTAGTAAGACCGTCCTACAGCAGAGATGGGCTATAGATGCTATCCTGAGTGCCAGTTCTGACCCATCGGGATCACACAAAGCCCCGGGCTGAGGGTCACAAACTACGTGGAAGCTGGGTGTGGCAGCACATGCCTTTAATCCCAGCACTCAGAGGCAGGTGAATCTCTGTGTGTTCCAGCCCAGCCCAGTCTATGCAGACAGGTCCAGGCCAGCAAGGCCACACAGCAAGACCCCATCTCAATCAATCAATCAATCAATCAATCAATCAATCAATCAATCAATCAAACTATATCCAAGCCTAGCAGGAAAGGGTGATATGGCTGATTATTAATATCTGCTGCCGGGCTGGAGAGATGGCCTAGCGGTTAAGAGCACTGACTTTTTCTAGAGGACCCGAGTTCAATGTCCAGAACCCACACGGCAGCTCACAACCGTCTGTAACTCCAAGATCTGACACCCTCACACGGACATACATTCAGACAAACCACCAATCCACATAAAATAAAAATACACTATTAAAAAAATCTGTTGTGGGAGAAAAACTGAAGGTGGACGAAGCTCCATACATTGCCAGTCATGCTACAGACCCTGTCCCTCCTTACTTCCCAGCAGACACTGGGGCGGGGCCCTCATGAATGTAATCCAGGAGCATGACCCCAGCGCACTGGTTGCTACTGGCATCTCTGTGGTCTAGTTCCTGAGAGTCAGGTCCTCCACTGAAGCCTGTAATGACCTCCCTCCTCTCTTCTTTAAATTCCTCTGAGAATTCGATCTGTTCCCGATTCTGGTCCCTATGCTGCAGCAGGCACAGGGTCCTCCTTTGCAGCGTGAGGCAACAGAGATAGCACATAACAGGTTACACATGTGGATGGGGGAACACGTGAGCAAATCTGGAGCAACCTTTTCTGCCACGACAGAGCATATCCACACTGCTGAAAAGGAGCTGAAAGGGAGCTTCCGAGTTAGATTAGGGTTCAAATCCCACCTCCTCCATTTCTAGCCATATGACCCTGGGCAACTTACTCGCCTTCTCTATGACTTCTGACTGTGAGGTAGGGAAAAGAGCAACCACTTTGTGAAGGTGACAGGAGGATTATTCGAAGCACCTGTCATGGCAGAAGCCCCTCCCCCCAAATGGCAGCAGATGTGATGAATGTCGATTCACAGAGCTGTTATTAGCAAAAAAAGAAAAAAAAGAAAAAAAAAATTGTCCAATATGGAGACAGTCCTTGAGTAAATCCTGGCATATCCACTTAATATCATGCAGAAAAGCGGTGTTTGTAACAGCTCAATAGCAGCAAGAAAATGCTTACAGCATAAAACAGAAAAAGGAAAGCCCAAGCTGGATGAAGTGGCAGCACACGCCTTTAATCCCAGCACTCAGGAGGCAGAGGCAGGCAGGTCTCTGAGTTCAAGGCCAGCCAGGTCTACGTAGAGAGTTCCAGGACAGCCAGGGCCACAGAGTTACTCATGTAATAAATAATAAGCATATAAATGTAATAAATAAAAAGCAGAGCCTCAGGCTGGGTGTGGTGGCTCACGCCTGTGATCCCAGCACTCAGGGAGGTAGTGGCAGGGGATCTCTGTGAGTTCAAGGGCAGCCTGATCTACAAAGTGAGTCCAGGACAGCCAAGGCCACACAAAGAAACCCTCTCAAAAAAAAAAAAATAGTAATAATAAGCAGAGCCCCAAATTGGGCATTCTTTGTTAGTACAACTATGAGAAAAAAATACAAAACCATTAAAAAAAATGGGCAATAAATACAGTCGCAGAAGACTTACACTTATGCTCAGGTAGGTTATTTTTTCCTGTAATATATTATCTTTGTAATTTAAAAAAGCATGACTTCTTTTTAGAAGCAACTATATAGTAAAGCTGAATTGAGTATGTGTGTGTGCGCACTCTCTCACACTATAACCCCGTAAGCCTTAAACTTGTTGTGATCTTTCCGTGTCGGCCTCCCTACCGACAAAAGGCACCTGGCTAACATGTTTTGTTTCATTTTTTCTAAAGTGGGGAGGGCAGAGGAAGAAACACTGCCCAAGCCAGTTGTCCCTGACTGCGACCCCAAATCCACATCCTCACCCTGCAGAAGTCTTCTTCAGCTTGGCACACAGTAGGACATCTGTGAAGAGAAAGACGTGCCGCAGCTTCCGGGAGCTCTCAGACATTTCCACCAAGAAGCCGTCCTTCACCAGCTGCCGAGTCTGAGGAGACAGCATAGCCCGCACTGCTCAGAGGGGAGAGAGCTTTGAGGGCCCGGCCTGCACTGCTGTGGAGCCATCTCAGAGTGACTGTGCAGCTGAGAGAATGGTTCTGCTTGGAAGCACCATACACCGTGGAAAGGCACAGTCCTTCCCCACAGCTCTCAGCAGCTTCCCCTGGATATAAGCTCCCCAGAATGACTGGGTTTCTCCATCCTTGACCATGAACATCACCAATCTCACATCTCCTCCCAAAGGAGAGACTGATCTAGTTTCTAAAGCTCATCTTGTTCAGCCAAGCCACTGAGGCTCCTCCATGCTACTTCTCAGTGGAGTCCTCAACTACAGGATTTCCCCAAGGGGGGCTGTAGAGATCGGGACAGTCAGAAGCACCTCACTGCTCATGAGATGTGGAATGTTTTTCCCTGCCACCCTCAGAGCTGGCAGGCTTCTCCGGATCTGTCATCATCTGTTCCAGCCGTCTGTGTGTGCACTGTGTGCTGTGTGACCTACATAGTCTATCGTCTGTGGGTGAGCACGTTGAAAGGAAATGATTAAAAGAACCTGAAGCTGATCGTGCTCCATGCCGTCTAAGACTTTTTCAGGTATTTTCTGGGGTGTTGCAAACCAGGGCTGGGGACTGGGTACAGACAGCTCCGTGCCCCGTTAGTCATGCTTGAGACCCTGTCCCTCATTACTTCCCTTCCCAGCAGACATGGGAGGCTCATAAATGTAACAAAGGAGCATAAAGCCAGTGAGCCTTCCCTCCTAAATGCTCCTTAATTGCCTCGATTAGTCAGAAGGCGCTGTATGTGGGCCAGACTGCTGACCCCTGAGGGTCACAGTCTCCCCAGTCCTTCACACTGCTTCCCCACTCTTCCATCAGGAAGGCTCCCAGCCCACCCCCGAGGAGATGCGATGCCACATCCAGGTGTTGCCAAGGATATTTTATCAGCCTGGGTGACCTTAGCCATCCGGGGTACTGGCATTTTCTTTTGTTGGGCTCGTTGCCTAGCTCTGGCCTACCTAGTGAAGCGTCTCCCAGGGACGTCCTCCTAGTCGGAGCAAGGATGTGTATCAAGCATGAGGTCCCGAGAGGCCCAGCTTCTGGTGGGGACAATGTGTGGAGTTTGACAGCCCAGTAAGCATCTGATTCTGACCCTTTTGTCTGGGTATCCCTGTGCCAGGCACGGAGATTCTATTACCAGGTTATCATAGCGGTCTAGGAGACAACAGTCTTAAAAGTTCCTTTCTGTCTGTTTTTTGAGACAGAGTTTCTCTGTATAGCCTTTGCCTGTAAAACAGGCCTCAAACTCATAGAGATCCACCTGCCTCTTCTTCCCAAGTGCTGGGATTAAAGGCGTGAGCCATCATTGAGCGGCTAGGCTTAAAGTTCTTGACCTAGAACCTGACATGCTGCAGGTAATCAGGGCGGCCGAGGACTGCAGGCCTCCCTTTAGCTGTGAGTCCACAGGATACTCAGCAGTAGCAGGCCAACTGTCTACTCCTCTGCTTAGGTATGAAGCTGTGAAGGGCCTGAACTCACCTCCCCCTTGGGGGTTGTGACTGCAGTCCGGCGGGGATCAATGTCCTCATTAATGCTGGACAGGAAATTCTGGGAGATTCGGAGGGCATCCTGAAGCAGTGGGTAGTCTGGATGGTCCACAGGTGTATGCTTCAACAGATCCTGGGAGAGGATGTGGGGATGAATTGAGAGGAAGTGGTTCAAGTTCATGAGAAGACAGTGGGGAGTATGTAACCCTCCTAAGAATTCTGAGGAGATACTCCTGGGACCCACACTCTCATCCAGCCATGCCTGTGAAATCGGAACTGAGAAACCAGGGTCAGGCGAGCAGCAGTGAAGGCACTCAGTGTCCCTTTGATTTCTGCTGGACTCGGGTGACTCCTCTCCCTGGAGGCTGCAGCCCCGGAGAAACCATATCTCACCAAGCAGCTGGGGAACCCTCCTCTACCCACTACACAGCTGCTCCAGGACCCTGGAGACCACAAAACAGGGGATGAAGCACCAGCAAGTGTCTGCCTGCTGGGGAGCATTTGGCCAAATATCAAGCTTAGTAGTCAAGCTATATTTAGGACATGGCCCCGTTGGCATGGTTACCATAGGCCAGGTAGGCACAGTCAGGGCCCGGGGACCCTCTTGCTTGCTCCCCAAATGGAGTCTCAGTGACTTCAATGCCTTCACATGAAACTCCTAACCCACCTCTGGCCACTGTGGGGTGTGACACTCACGTGTAGGACCAGGGTGCTCCGAGTGACTCGGTCAATAGGCTTGTAGAGCAGAGCTGCAGGGAAGGCCAAGAAAGGAGACAGGATGATGAAGTACAAATTCTGGGTCATGGAGATGATTCTCCAAATGAACAGTCACACAGAAGCCACGGGGATTCAGTGGTAACCCACACCTCCGTTTTCACTCCATGGACAGGTCAAATAAGAGGAAGGACACACAGCTCTGTCCACTCAGGCTCCCTCCCTACCTGAATCTCCATCTCCTCACCCACTCCTGTGCTGTCCAGGCTCTCACAGCTGAGGCTCCCCTGGGCCCCATCCCCAACCATACAGAGACACCCAGAGCCCCGCAAGAGTTCAGCACTCTGTGGTGCCCTTGGCACTTCAGAATGGCAGGCTGCCCTTCCTCATGCCAGTCAATCCTCAGTCTAAGGACTGGCACAGCCAGCTGGGAACCACACACTTCATTCACTCTCACATATCTGGCCTCAGCTCTATTAAAAAAACAAACAAAACAAAACAAAAAAAAACTCTTCTTCATGCCCTCAACCCGCTGACCGAACAGGCTAGGCTGAGGGGTCAAAAGGCAAGCCGAAACACCACCAAAACGCTCCATCCTCAAGCCAGTGGCAGACGGAGGAGCAAAGACTTCTTGAAGGAATCTGGGTGGAGTCCTGCTACAGAAGCCCCAAAAGACGCTAGACAAAGGCAAGGTCAGCCAGGTCCCAAGGGGCCACCCTCCTCTGTTGCCCAGACAACGAATGCTGACCACCCAGACCATTCAGCAGGCACTGGTAAGACGCTGTGGCCAGCAGCCCAACACTCCTGCAGGCGGGTCAGTGCTGGTCCTGTACCTGGGTCTCCAAGTCCTGGGACCAGGACCTTTGGCTTTCTGTCACAGGTGTTCTAAGAGGCTTGGCTGAAGAAAAGTCCGTAACGGAATGTCCCATACAACCTAGCCAGATCCTTCAACAGCCCCCAAACCAGAGTCTCCCAGAGCCCTACACAGCAAGTGCCAAGCAGACACTTCAGGGCACATCCTGGTGCTCTGGCAATGTGTTTTTGAGGTATACTAGGTGCCCCATCTGTAGCCCTTGCTTGGCTGCCCATTAGGTCCACATGGGAGCTGCTAAAAGCAGCAGCTGTCCCTACACCCCTTCAGCTAACCCAAAATCTCCAAAGGGTAAAAAAGCTATTGTGCTGACATGGATATGTATCAGAAGCTGGAAAACTGCTGTTTTTCTGTAGCTCTTTCTTAAGCCGCCATTACCAGAAACACCCCTGACGGCTGGCCCACGGAGGATAGAACGGGCAGATCCGTGGGTTCGGGGTGTATTGGGACATGCAGGGATTTCATCTGAGGATGCCTGAGGCACCCCACCCACCTGTGGCTTAGGCGTCTGCACCACCCAGGGAAAGTCATACCAGAGCCCTCGAGACCTCACGGAGGCCACAAGGTCAGCAGACAAAGGCAGGGGTGGGCCTGGACTCCCATCCCCCAGAAAGCTGACACTGCACCATCGGCTTCTGCAACCCTCTCTGGGTCCTGGGAGGAAGAGGTTTCTGACTGAGCGCAGAAGTCTGCAGAAATGGTGGATCAGGTTTCAGGGGGACTATTAATACGCTTGAAGTCACCTCTGACTTCAGCATCCATCTGACAGGGCCAGGGAATGACTCCCGCAGTCTTGGCACTGGCCAAGGGGAATCAGGTGTGGGAGAAAACCAGGCAAGGAAGAATGCCCCCGGGACCTTTGTTCCCCTGGCTTCTGAGCGCGCCCCCTTGTTCCAAGTGTGCCAGCCCCTTCTCTGTGCCTGGGCTCCTCTATCATTCTTTCCCCACTCTTCCTGGAACAGGTGCCATCAAACAAGTGGTCTTGCTCATCTCTCTCCCTCCTCCAGGAAGCCTCCCCTGATCACACTTTTCTAAGCACTGAAAGTCAGACCACCAATATGAACAAGTTGCTCTTTTCCCAGGTTTCACGGAACTGCCTTATGTACACTGTTTCCCGTCACTAAAAGGGGATGCAATTTTCACCAGCCCTTTTTTTGTTTTTTTGTTCTCCCCCACCCCCCTGAGACAAAGTTTTTCTGTGTGGCCTTGGCTGTCCAGGATTTGCTTTGTTCACCAGGCTGTCCTTAAACTCACAGAGATCCTCCTGCCTCTGCCTCCCCAAGTACTGGGATTACAGGCGTGTGCCAGCGAGCCTCACTCTCACTTGCCCATTTTTATGGTACAGAAACTCAGGCACAGATTACTTGCCTATAATCACAAAGCTGTGAGCGGTAGTTGGGTTTTGAATTTTGTGCTCACAAATGGACTGTCTCTGTCCTCAAGAGAAAGTGACGGTGAACTCCACACACAAGAGCTCTGGGAAAGACTCCGCCTACCAGGGTGAGTGCTTGCCCTAGAGCTAGCTCCTCACCCAACTCCTCACTCCAAAGCAGACTTCAAAAATTAGGGCATCACTGGGACCAGAGAAACCCCTGGACACCAGGCTTCAAGCCTGCTCTATGAAGACTAAGCTTCCCTTCAGGGAGAGAAGGGGGAGCACAGAGCTGACCCTTTCTCCTTGTTAAAAAGCCAGCCCCTCGGCCAGGGCCAGCATTTCTTCCCTGACCTCTGACAGGGCTTCAAGCCCCACTCTTCCCTGGTGCCAGCCTGTTGGAATCTGCTGAAGTACAGCACAGAGGCTGTCTCCACGGTGAACACCAGACACGGAACAAGCCATGGACAATGAGGGGGACAAAGGTCCTGAACAGCTCCCTAACACACAGCTAGGAAAGTGCTGCAAACCTCATCCCTCATCTCTCCTCCAGCAAACTGCCACCCCCCACTTGGTTCAGCCTGTAACTAGAGCCCCAGGTTACCACGGAGATAGGCACGCAAAGTGACTGAGAAGGGTGCAGACAGAACGCCTGGTGGGAGGGAAGAAGGTCCATACCCAGCCAGCTGCCTCTCTGACACACATGTGCCCATAGCAGCTGGCCTGGAGACCACATGTGCCCCCCGGTGCCCCATCAGAGCAGCTCAGGTCACCCCTGAGGCACTTCTTGCCTTAAGAGAGTAGGGCCACCAGGTCTGGACAACTTGCTGCCTGCACCTGCTTCGGTATCATACAAGCAAAGAGCCCGCCTGACAACATGCTCCTGTCCCAGGACACTTCCTCGCCTCGGCTGAAGGAGTGACAAAGAGGATGCTCAGGCCTTCCGCTGAAGTGGGTGTGTGACCTTCACGAAGCGGCGGCCAGCCACACCCCCCTCTCATGCAGACCTTCTGCACTGAGTGCCGAGACCTGGCTAAGGGTGTTTAGGGGCTGGAAACACTGCTCCGGAAACCAACCAGCTCCTCCCGACTCTCCCAGAGCCACCCAGAGAGGAGGCGGCATGTGCTCGAAGCACACAATACCGGCATCCTCTGTGCTCACGGACAAAGAAACTCCCAACTTCTCTCTCCAGCGCAGGCTGGCGCTCTCGTGCCACGAGGTGCAGCTGTCCATACTCTCTGTCCCTCTCTGCCTGCTCCCAGCTGTCCCTTGCCCCCACCTCAGGCCTGCGGGTACAGCCTGTCACTTTGCTTAGTCTCTTCAAGAAGTTGCTCAATGTCTTTCATGCATGCACATGCTAAACCACCAGTCCCTCACACCGCCTCGGGAGGACCTGGACCCTTCTAGCCTGGTCCTTCCATTTCAAAGATGCTCTGCCCCATGCAGCCTCTGGATTTCAGCTCCAAGCTGACCACAAAGCAAATGCGAGTGGGTTCAGCCACACGACCATCCTCCATTTCCTGCAGCCCCTAAATCCTGCTGGCCATATTGAAGTCCATTCTAGCCAGCCCCCAGATGTCGCAGGCATGCCACTTCCCACGGAGGGGCGCCTGGGTTACCATAGGTGCAGTTACAGCAGAAGCGAATGATGAGGAGGATTTCCATGGCAGCCTCTATCCTTGCAGCAGGGACCCGCAGCCATTGCTCCAGGCTCCTGGCTCTCCTCAGCAGCCCAGCCACTCGGCCACCTTGCTGGCTGCTGCTGCACAACCTCGACAATCAGGCAGCCGCTTCCTTCCGAGTGCTCATCCAACAAGGGGGAGGGCAGGAGCATGGAGAGGCAGGAGGAGGAAGGGAGGGGAGGAGGGGGGAGGGACCAAAAGCCTGCTGGCATCCTAAGGAGGAGCACGTTTGTAGCTGGCCTACTGCCTAGGGAGGAGACACAGTCACACAGTCACACACACACACACACACACACACACACACACACACACACACACAC